TGGGCAACACAGACTGGCGGCCACAGAGACTGGCAAAACGTCAGGAAGAACAACCTTCAGAACACAGCCAAAGAGCCCAAAAAACCCACAACAACCATTAGATCCCGGCCGTGAAAGCCTTCGCGAATATATTAATCTCCTCTTAAATTGCCTAAATATTTGCCCCACCCCCTCATATTTGAAGGAGCTCCTTGTTGCATTTTGGGTTGGCCTGCTTACTCTTACTTTCAAAGATATTTCTGGGACCTAGAGAAAAAGGAGACAGTGCAGTTCAAAACTTAAAGTAGGTCTCCCATTTGAAGTACAGCTCAAAATTCCAATCTGTGCTACACCCAGCACCCAGTTAAGGTTCACTGTGGCTCTGTGTTTTGAAATAAGCAATGTAAGGATTATAATTTAAAACTCTTAAGAAAAGGACTGGAAATGTTTACCGGCACAACCTAACTTCAAACACAATGATGTTTAAATAATGAAAACAGGAATTCAGTGGGCCTTAACATACTGTCAATTCAAGGAGTCTTTTTACTTGCTTCATTATTCTTTCCCAGTAATGCTGATACCTAGTAATCTTTTAGTAGCAACCAGTGGCACTATAAAGACAGAAAGTTTGCAGCTGTAAGATCAGGAATGGGTAGCAAAAATAAACTGATGCTTGTTTCAGGTGGTTGTTTTATGAAAATGTAGTGCTTGTGCAAGTTCAACAGCCAACCAACTTCCAGACATACCTCAACTTCCCCTGTTTCATTTTCCTTCAACACAAAGCTTAGAAGGTCTGTGTCAGGACCTGCTTGCAACCGGAGATACAAAGGATACTCTGTCACTGGAAGTTTCTGGGATAGAACTGCAGAAATGACAAAAAGCACAGAGAATTTTGGAATTGTAGATGACTAGGGCTGAAAGGGACTGCAGGGGCCATCAAGTCAAGCTCCCTGCCAGAGCAGGGAAATTCCTACCTAAAATGCCCTTGACATTTAGTCATCCAGCCTCTGCTTAAAACACCTCCAAGGCTGGGAAATCCACCATCTTATGACACAGTCCCTTGCATCATCCAACAGCTTTCAATTTTAGAGAAGTTCTTCCCAATGTTGAGTTGAAATTTCCTTTCATTTCAATCCATTACTTCAGGCCCTACCTTCTGGAGCTGAAGAAAAAAAGCTTGCTCCATCTTCTCTGTAACACCCCTTCAAATATTTGAAGATGGCTGTTGTGCTACCTTCTCAAGCTTCTCTTCATAAAACTAAATACGTCAGACTCCTTCAACCACTTATTTTAAGCCTTGTTTTCCAAGCCCTTTATCATCTTATTTGTCCTCCTTTGAACACACTCCAACTTCTCAATATTCTTCTTACACTGTGGTGTCCAGAACTGGACACTGTATTCCAGATGAGGTCTGACCAAAGCAGAATAGAGTGGAGCACATAAATCACTCTGCCACTGCATTACAGGCTCACACAGCCTTAGGTAAAAGTAAAGGTTCCTCTTGACAATTGTCCAGTCGTGCTCCAGTCTAGGGGGCGGTGCTCATCCCTGTTTCCAAGCCATAGAGCCAGCATTTGTCCGTAGATAGTTTGTCATGTGGCCAGCGTGACTAGACACGGAACGTCGTTACCTTCCCACCGAGGTGGTACCTATTTATCTACTCATTTTTACATGCTTTCGAACTGCTAGGTTGGCAGGAGCCTTATGGCTATATAAATTCTCCTCTTAGAACTAGTAACTGAGTTGGCAGCTTTTAGGCTGTACATGATTAGCCTCAAGCTGGCATCAAGGTGGATGCCAGCAACCATTTCCTCTTAGTAGACACTGAATTATAGAATGTAATTCAACAAAATATGACTATTTTTTACCTCTCAATTTCCAATCTCAACGGCTCACAACCATCACTTTCCACAACAAATTGGAGGATGGGCAGATAAGGCAAAAGCACAACGGCTCACAACCATCACTTTCCACAACAGGAGGATGGGCAGACAAGGCAAAAGCATAGACAGGCAGCACCATCTTGACTTTCCCTGTCCTTTGTTGAAGAACATTGTCTAACATTCCATACAGTGAGGAAAGAACAGGTAGCTGGCTACTCATTTAACAGTTCATTCATGCCTATTTTGAGGGGACTGCTGTAGTGGTCCATAATCCCCAAGTTGATGATCTCATGGTTCTAATGTTTTTGGATATTTTTACATCTTGAATATTAATTGGAGAAAACATTTCTGTATTGATCTGTAGTTTGAGAACTCCATGCTCAATTTAAAAAAAACCACTTGATTTTATTACATTTTCTATCCTGACCATGAATGTAGAATTGGAAATACTATTTGGGACTCAGCAGGTGGAAGCTGTAGTATTCCAGATGCTCCTGCACTGCAGTTTCCAGCGTTCATCACTACTGACCTATGTGGCCCAGCAACATCAAGAGCCCATAATTTGTTCACACTTGGCTGAGAGAACTGTCTGAGAAGTGTCCTGGGCTTTCAGTGAAAATTCAGCAACTTTCATATTTTGTCTTTTAACATTTCTACTACTGTTCATTATAGGAAGTTGAAATTTTAAGTATAATCAAACAAGAGACTTCATTATAACATACGGAGTTGCATTAGCTAGTTTAAAATATGGGAAATATTTTAATTCTCCTCAAAATGACCCAATGTGGCCTACCTCATTAAAACAGCATTTAAAAGCTAAAAACAGTAAATGTACAAATATTTTTAAAAAGAATTAAACAAGTATTATATAGTAACTAAGATCAATATTAAAAGACATGTAAAACAACAGAGCACAACAACCCATTTAAAACCGCTCTCAGACTACCAGTGATTAAGAAAAAGCCTGCCTGAAGAGAAAGGTTTTTTTCCTATCTGCTATGCATAAGCCAGTTATTCAAAAAGCAGACCACTCTTTCTGGCAGCCTGATGAAACAAAATTATATTGCCTTAAAAAGGAACACCACCTCACCTTGACCATCTTTCTGCATCTGCTTGAAAAGTGCAAATTTCTGTGGGTTGTCCACCACCATAAATTTCTTCAAAAGTCCCTGGATCACCTCACTCACAGTGGTGGTACTGCTGATGTGCAGCTGTTTGATGGCATCCAGTGGCAGGTAGAAGGAAGTCCTTTTCTCTGTTGTCCTGGCCAGGTTGACCTCCTTGAGGGCATCATATATGGACTGTGGCCTGATCCCTGCTGGAACTGTCACAGGCCGGCGCAATTTCAAGTGCACTTTGATGAAACCTGTATAAGTGCCGTCATCATTCTGAATAGAGGGGTTGGAATTAAAATTAAGTTTAAAAGAAGGGTAAATTTAGGTACGGTATTTTAGTCATTTCAGTACTGAAAACATGGAACACTAGACTATTTCCACAAAAAACTTTTGTCTAGAAGTAGCTAACCGTTTTTCTTTCCACACACATATTATTTATTGATTACATAAAATGTACTGCAAGTCAACTATAGAAGCTCTGTACAGTCATTATACTAGTCTGAACATCCCTAAACTTGGAAGCTAAATAAGACTGGGCCTCATTAGTACTTGGATGGAAAATTCCTGGGGAATACCAATAAAATTAAGAGTTGTGTAATCAAGCTTTATTTCATTCACTGAAGTATTACAAACATGTTACACCTGCAAGTTCTCCTGAACTCATCATTAGGTTTCATAAAGATTTATAGAGAATTTGAGTGGAATAAAAATTATATCCTTTTCCCATTAAGTTTGGATTTTTCTAGATCAGGCTGCTTTCCCAAAGGAAGACATAAAGATGCCAACTGAAAACAGATAATCAAGGGTCCTACCTCACGTTTAATACATGTTCTGTGATGGAAAGAATGAACACATCTGCTTCCATATTGGCCCCAAATCCAGGGCAATTGCTGAACCACAGCAGGATGTGGCAAGTTTTGTTCATCTTGACTCATCTGAGCTTGTACAAGAGAGTCACAGCTATTTGTAGAAAACCATCTGCCATTATTCATAGGGCACTTTGGTGACTATAGCACGTTTTGGCTGAATACTCAGTTGCACAGAACTCATTGTTACATACAGCACTGATGTTACCTGTCTGTCATGGGTTTGGAGGGAAAGTTCCATCCTATGGGGAGTGGAAGGCGGGACATCAGGAGGAGGGGCTGTAGTGTATATATATGTGGTGCGTGTGTGAGACACTGTGAGACACTGGGAGGTGACGAAGCAGCAGCTGGGGAGAAGAAGCTGTTGTGGGAGTCTGAGTGTCAGACAGGGTACTACTGTGTGTCAGAGTACCAACCTGATAGGTTCAGGTGTCTGTTGGTTAGCCAGAACTGATAGGTTCAGGGTCTGTGCTTTACGTTAAGGGTTCTGGGTGAACCAAACTGTGTGTATATATGAGTGAGAGTAAGCCACGTTACTTTATCCTATTCACCTGATTGTTTATTTTTCCCTGTGTGTATTTAAATAAACCTTATTCTTTTTATTGTTTAAAAATCCATCCCTGGTCTGTGTGACTTCTTACAGGGAATGGTTGGGGGCAGCTTAGTGTAACTGTGTGACATATCCCAGTAGGTCTGGGGGTGTCACACTCATTCCAGCTGCTATGTGGCTCACACCAATTATGGAGAGGTTCATTAAATAATTCCTCAAGGAAGTCTGCTGGTGAATAGACCAGAGCTTGGAAGAGATCTTTTTTTTTTCAGAGTCCTCCAACCAGCATAGTCACTGGTGATGCTGGCTGAGAGGTTCTAGGAATGACAGTTCAAAGCAAAGCACAACAAAGCAAAACACTTCTAGGCTTTAGAAAAGATATATTCAAAGCTCTTTTATTTCTCATTTGGGATCAGTCCCCTAAAAGGAACAAAACTAAAGACATTCACAGGGATTCTGGAAAGCCAAGTTAATAACTCTGAAGACTGGGACCTCTGCCTAAGCTGCCAGAATGGGATAATGATTGATCTTACCACCTGTGCCACTAAGTTCTACTTCAGTTCACTGAAGTCCTCATGATAACACAGGTAAGAGAGACCCTGGAAGTCCAATGTCACCATGTTAAAAGGACACCCTGTTTCTGTGTGAAACATTGTTTTAATATTCTTCTATTCATCCATAATAATATGGATCCTGCAAAGCAGGGGACATGCAGATTGTGATTGGTTTACTCAGCAAATGTGATCCAGCAAGAACAAATCACAGACTTAGTTACTCTGTTTAAAAGCACCATATGCAATGTTTTGAGCCTTAAATGGAAATTAAAGGCTGTCTCAGGCAAACATGCGCTGTTTGTAGTATTTAACAAACGCAACTAGGATACCTTTCTGCCCTCAGCTAATTTTGTGAGTTGCGCAATACCATGACCTGTGTAGGAATGGCTTCAGAGAGCCCTTTAACCCTGCAGCTGTTCAAAATATTGTTGTATCTTGCCACTTCTAATATCTACTGCTAGACAACTTTTGGCCCTCCTATGTATTACTGCAGCTCCCACAAGCCCAGACCAAGATAACCAATGGTGAAGGATCACTAGCTACACTAGCTAGGGTTGATAACACATCTGGACGTTCACATGCTGCATATGTCTGATCTGTTGTGTACAATTCGTGCCAAAGTTCTCATAGGGCATGCATTCTGCAAGGATGTCCTTATGAAATACGAACACTAAAAGGACTGATCAACTTTGTGGCATGTTGGTGATGCTTAGGACGTTTGAATGGAATACATTCAAAGCATGACATGGCAATAATCATCTTTTGTTATTCTCTTGTAGTAAATAAATAAATAGAAAAAGAAAGAAAATGCAGTACAAACCAGCTTCATCAGCAAGCCGTTGTTGACTTTTGAATTGTAATTGTCAATCTTTTCTTTCAGCTCCTGAATGGTAGGAGCTTTCGGTTTTTCTTCTTCCACAGTTTTTGTCACATTCTAGAACAAAAGACGATAAGTGATACTTGAGACGCACACTAGTTGACTCATGAGCTTTTAAAATCATGTCTTGTCTAACACACAATCTGCCCACACCAGCACCCATTTTGTCTCTTTCATTTTCTTCCACTGCACATGTTAAATGTATAAGTTCATTTCCAGCTACTAGTGCTTATCATTAGGCGTCAATCCAGGGATGGGCTGTGTTGACCTCCAGAGCTGACCTGTATAAAGACTACTTATCCATTGCAAGATGAGGAGTTGCTTTACACTAAATCAGACCATTAGTCCATCCAGCCTACTCTTTACAGGCAGCAGTGCTCCAGGCTATCAGGCAAGATGATCTCTTAGCTTTACACAATGATGCTGTAGTTTTAGAATTTGTAGCTGTGTTAGTCTGTGCAAGCATATGAGGCAAAATCCAAAGAAACATTCCAAAGAAACAAAACAAAACAATATGTGGCACCTTAAAGGCTATTATATTTTAATGTGAGCTTTTGTGGATCACGTCCACTTCTTCAGACATATGGAGTAAAATGAAATACAGAGTGAAAAAGAGAATCCACAAGAAAAATGTTCAAAACATTCATTGGCTTTCTATATGTCAGACATATGTCTGAAGAAGTGAACATGATCCACAAAAGTTCACATTAAAATATAATAGTCTTTAAAGTGCCACATGTATTTGTCTTGTTTTTCCCCCCTTTGGATTTTGCAGTGATGCTGTTGATTGAACTGAGACGTGCTACAAGCAAAGGATGTGTGCTCTGCCACTGAGCTGTAGCCCGTCTCCAATGCAGGTCCCACGATTCTTTGGCTGTCTCCCTTCGACATCCTAATTTAAACAATCCCTGAATACAAGGATGGTAGGATGGTAACTTAGATAATGGCAGTGACACTAAACAGAGCACTAAGCTATCTTGCTGCTGCCGCCATCACTACAGCAGCCAACCAATCATATTATTCACTTACTGGCTGGGACTAGAAAGAGTTTCCAGCAGGGCATGCAACCTCCCTAGACCCACCATGTGTACATTGTGGCTTACTCTCTAAAGGACACAATACAAAAGGAAAAACGTGGAATAAGTGAGAAAAAAGCAGACAGAGGCACCAGTTAGGAATGTTATCTGATTTTCTTACAAGGACTAGTTTGAATGGAATCAAATCAGTGAGGTGTAGCATTAAATAACAGCTTTCTACCTACTCAATCAATGAACATGGCCCTGGGATTCAGTACCTCCTGTATATACATACACATTTTCACTGGATAGAATCATGCACAGGATTGTGATTTTGCTTTTTAGCAATTTTTAAAAAATATATTTATACCAGCTCCAGTGAGTTTAAGACAGTGGGCAAAACAATAACAACAATAAGAACAAACAACGAGAATGGTAGTGGATGATAAATGTTACTACATTACAATGGAAAAGGCTTTTAGCTTCTGTCAGCAGACAAAAGTAGAATAGTACCCAGGGGGATGAGTGCACATTACGTAAGCATGAAGACATAAAATAAACTCAGCTAAGAAAGTTGTGGCACATGGAACTGAAAGAGTTCAGCTCAAACCAATGAAACAAATTTTGCACCTCTTTAATGACATATAAGACTATGCATAAAAGAATGGAAATCAAGTGTGAAAAATGACAGATCATGTGATACTGCATATGGTGTACCTCTATCTGTTCACGATCTGCTATTTGACCGACAGGAGGGCCTGGCATGCTCTAGTAGTCCATGGGGTCATGAAGAGTCAGACACGACTTAACAACTAAACAACAACAAACCTCTGCTGCGGCCACCCCTGATTTCAACATAATACCAGTTTCAGTCTAATGCCTGTGGCTTTTAAAGTCCCACTTACAAGTATGTGCAAAATTTACTTCAGAATTCTTATGCGCATAACCCAAAGATTATCTTAGAAAGACCAAGCATTAAGACAAAACCTTTCACAAGATGCTTTAAGTTCCCTGTATTTTAGTGGTTGGGTAGCAGATGAGTTTTCAAATACGATAGGCATCTATATTACAAAACAGTTCTTCCCAAATGTGAAAGGTAAAAGGCCTGCACAATACCATCTAACTGAATGCAAAGGATTCCTTATTATTAACTCAATCTACATAAAAATCATGTTTATTAACAGGGTTTCCTCTGCAGGCCCTAAGCAAAAGGAAGATAAACAGTTATTCAAAGATCCATGGTGGAACTAGACATTCGCTATTCTCCATCTCTTCAGATTCTCCACCAAAAGAAAAACAGAGGTGCAGTACTTAAAATAAATAAGGTCAATTGTGCAAAACTGTTTAAACGTAAGTTTACACAACACTCCAATGGAAGGGTTTCATTTCCTGTGGTTTTTTGTTTTGCAAAATTTAAACACAGTATTTTGGCAAAAGATAGAAAAGATGGCATGTGTACACATGCTTGGCGCCACACAATGAACATACACATGAACATATAGATTCCTCAGGCTAGGAAATGCCTACAACATCCACCTTTCTTCCAAACTCCCAACTGCTGTGTTTTAAAAATTTTTAAACTTCAGTACAGAGTCTGAGAGGCATGCATCCCCAAAGATGTTTTTACAGCCCTCAGACTACTAGACCTGCCCTGAAAAAAATGGAATATTGCTATTCCTGGAATCTTTCACAAGCTGCAATCCACCTTTTAAATAGTTTGCAGACCCCCCTCTCTATTGCCTGACACAAAAAGAACCATTTTTCAAAACACAAAGTGGACTTCCAGCCACTTACGGCCACATTGTGTCATTTTTCATTATTCTGAAAGGTCTGAAGAGCCCATAGGATCTTGGGGGCAAAATTGGTCCCTCAGACTTGCCCAAGTCTGTTGCCACAAGACCAAAGACTGCTATCACACTGGCATCCAGTGGCAGGTAGAAGGAAGTCCTTTTCTCTGTTGTCCTGGCCAGGTTGACCTCCTTGAGGGCATCATATATGGACTGTGGCCTGATCCCTGCTGGAACTGTCACAGGCCGGCGCAATTTCAAGTGCACTTTGATGAAACCTGTATAAGTGCCGTCATCATTCTGAATAGAGGGGTTGGAATTAAAATTAAGTTTAAAAGAAGGGTAAATTTAGGTATTTTAGTCATTTCAGTACTGGAAACATGGAACACTATTTCCACAAAAAAATCTTTTGTCTAGAAGTAGCTAACCCTCTTTGTTTCTGCCGAGATACACCAGCTCGTACTACTCATTACAATGGGGACTTAACCACTTATATGTCAGAACTGCTATTGTCCTCTGAACTGATGGACATATCAAATATATTAATTGCTTCAACACTGAGTACATGCAGTTCCATCAGATCACTTTATTTATTCTCTTATCAATCCCCAGTTGTTGTTGTTTTTTAAAATAAGCAACAGCAAGAAGCAAAAAGGTAATGAATGATATAATGAGCAACAAAGCAAGCTACCTTACTACTCATCACAAAGCCTACAGGATTTATTACCTTTTGTTCCTTCAAATTGCCTTTTTTAACACCTCAGAATTGATAAAAGAGTAACATAAATTGATCTGCAACCTTAAACTGTAATTGCTAAGTCATCAAGCCATTAAAGCAGTTGATAGATCCATCAATTTGGAGAGCAATGGCAGTTCCAATGTCTTCCTGGATCTTCCTCCAGCTCTAAAGTTCAATATTCAGTAGCCACAACTTCGAAAGAAGGATGTTTCTTTTCCATCTCTGCCTTAGTGTATAGTAATATCAATGCTTGGGAAAGAAGATATTTGAAGTGTGCCCCAGGATAGCATTCTATTTCTGATCAAGCCTAAACTACCTATGGCTTGAGGAAATAGCCACTACGCCATGCTTTGGCTTAAAAAAATCACTGGGAAGAGAAGTAATGGGAAAATAAAATAAATCAGCAGAAGTGTAGAAAAAGAATTAATGAATCATCAGGATTTTCCTCTAATTAGTGCACCAAATTAGACATGCACCCAGACCTACCTACAACTTCATTTGTGCACCTCAGGTTGCAATTCAAAACTACTGTACTGATAATTTTAACCTCTGCATCACTTTTTTAAAAACATAAAGGTACATGACATATGTCCCCCAGGTGAATAATACAATTACAATTATTTTCAGTTTTATGAACTACTTTCATCCCGATGCAGAACACAACACATAAAATTTCAGCAATCTGTGTACTTAATTTCTAACTAACCCCTTTCTCCACAGATGGAAACAGAATTTAATCTATGCATCTGCAGCCTGGAATGGAAAATTGCTTCATGCAGGAAACAAAAAGAGAGACAATGAGAGAAAAGCCTAATTTTGAAATCCTTTTAAAGGAAGCCAGATTGGAACATAGGTGGTTTTCCAAGTGGGTCTTTATGCAAATCCATTCATTTATTGTTAGATGCAATCGACCACGTCAGTAATCAAGACCTGCCATAAACAGGGACACTTCCAGGACACCAAAGAGGGAATGTAATTAGGAGGCTCTGACAATTCTGCAGATAGGAAATAAACAACTTTGGACACACCTGTCACAGCAGTGGAGATATGAAGGTGGCTCATTACATGAACAATGGGCTGATTGTCACCAATGCTATGATTGATTCAATGGAATGGCTATGATTGATTGGATACAACTGCAGGTGCTAAATCTTCAAGCTATTAATGCATTTGATTTCCCATCAATTTGGGGAACAATGGCAATTTGAAAGCACAAATGGCTAGGGCCTCCTCCAGTATTTAAATCCATTGGAATCAATGCAGACACAATAAGTTATTGGAGTTGGGGGTCTTGCCATCATCATCTGCTGAAAATTGCAGGCAAATAAGAGATTGATGGCCTTATCTTCTGTCATCAGAAGCCTCTCCATGCAGACAGCCCTCCCATAGGAGGCAGAAACAGCTGTCAAAGGAATTGTGCAATATATCCTAGCAACCTTTCAAAATGTAGAAGCTGATTTGGGAAAGCTAACTTATGCCATTTGAGTCAAAATACTTAGAGCAGTCTTTCAACAG